TGGTGGGTAGACGGACAGGGGTAAAACGCGCTATCCGACCATAATCCCCTTCCGACCATAATTCCGTGTGGCATATTGTGTAGGATTGAGGATAGAGCTTCTGCGCCCCAGCTACTCTAGCCAGTCGATCTAGCACCCAAGCTTGCCCTTGCTGCAGCTGCGACCGCGATAGGTAGCATAAGCCACGCTGTCGGATAGACACGTCGTCTTGTATCTCGGCTAGCCTAGTCGTCGGCCGATGCTCGTGCTCGCCCATCCACAGCAGCTCTTCCCGCAGCACGCGTTCTACCTCAGCGACGATGCCCTGTGCAAGCTCGCGGAACTGCTGTAGTACGACAGGCCGGCCTTTAATATAGAACGTCTGTCGATCTACCAACCACCACATACTACCAGCACTACTACTAGGCGTGCGTAGAGCGATAGACTTAGCGTACGCTAGTAAGCTAAGTATACTACTTATTAGGCTATACGAGCCGTCTACTAGATAGCGGGCGCGCTACTCAAGAAAGCTCTTAGTCTCTACAGCACCTTGCTCCGCCCGCTTATCTACTAGTAGAAAGATCTCTATCGCTAACGCCCGTACGCAGTAGACAAGTGCGCCAAGTATAGACGAGAACTTGGGAGCAGTACGTAGGCGGCTAGTCTCCGGGTGGATACCAAGCGCGGCGAGAAAATAGACAATAGCGCTGTCAAAGGGCTGTCCGTAGAGCTCCTGGCAGATAAGAGCGTGAGACAGGCGCAGCACGTACGTACGCTGCTTGGCTATTGTCGTAGCGCTATTATTAGACTGGCAGAGGTACTTCCAGAGCCGCTCTGCTGCTAGCTTCTGCTTGCCATGCCACGGGAAGAGACGAGCAATACTGGCCAGCTCGGGCACTGCTGGCGCTGCTGGCTGGTCGACAGCTACTACACGGAGGCAGTAGCAGACTAGTCGTGCCCAGACTTGAGCAGCGCGCAGCTGGCTGGCCTTGTTTTGCATACGGCTAAACGGGCGGACGTCTGGCTCTTGAAGCTTTGCACTGCGCAGCCAGCGCAGCGTATCTCGAGAGAGCGTGCCGAGTCCCTGTATAGCTTCCTCTACTAGCTCTTCTACGAGCTGTACAACGCGCTGCAGCTGCGGCTCCTCCGCTGATGGGAGGCGTATGGCGTACGACAGTAGCTGCCAGTCTGAGTAGGCCTGCAGGTGCTCGTCCCACTGCGTACGCTTGAACCAACCCGTACGATCTTTGGCGTTAGCTTCTTCGGCTATACGCTGTATAGCCTCGCTATCCTTGCGCTCGACAGCGTCGCACTCGCACGATAGACAGGCTAGGCGTTGCTGGTAGCTCTCCTGCTCCTGCTCCTGCTGCTGCTGCTGGCTTGCCTGGCCCGCTTGGCCTGTCTCCGGCTGCTCCGGCTGTTCTAGCTGCTCTGGCTGCTCTGGCTGCTCTGGCTGCTCTGGCTGCTCTGGCTCCTGTACAATAAAGTAGCGTCGATACTGCGTCTCGCGGAAGAACGTCTGCACCTTAACAGCCCTCCATAGCTGCGTAGGCGTAGATACTCTTAACGACCAGCGCGTAAGCTTTACACCATGCTGTTGATTAATATGCTTTTTTATCCAACTCCGACTAGTACTTAGAAAGCTGCAGTCAGCTTGACAGCAGCAGCGAAACGCGTCTTGTAGTGGGCCAAGCTCCGCGAATGGCGCGCTGTACGGTGCTGGCGCGCGTACGTGGTTAGGCGGCTGTAGCGTATAGCTACTATAGCGTTCTTGTAGCTGTCTTCTATCTTGAATAGGTAGCTTGTGGTAGCGCTTTAGATGCTCGTCTAGACTATAGACGGCGTACTGGTGCTCGTTACAAATAAGAACGCCATAGGCTAGTAGATAAGTAAACATAACTAGTGGTATATATATATATAACTATAACTATAAAAAACTAAAATATTCTAATAGTAGACTAATTAGTTATTTATTATAATTGATAGAGAGAAGTAGAAAAATAATAAGCTAGTTGCCCTAGCAGCAATCGGACCGTACGGGGTGAGCGTAAGCAGAAATTAGGGTTAGGGCTTAGGGTTAGGTTAGGGTTATCTAATCTCGCGCGAGTGCGGCCCCGATTGCCTTGCGCGAGTGCGCACCCGACGTCTGTGCGCTAGCCAATCAACTTGCGCGAGTGCGGCCCCTGGGTGCGTACTCGCGCACCAAACACACCTCACCATATGGCTAGTAGTTTATCTCTATTTTCTCTTTTACTACTACTACTACTGCTACTACTACTACTACTGCTACTACTGCTACTACTGCTACTACTACTACTACTACTAC